AGCATAGGAGCAATAGAAATTATGTTCACTCTCTACCAGTGGAGGCTGTGTGTGTGGTGGAGGTATGATTCTAGACATGCCCAAGGGGATGCAACTGGCAACACAGGTGGCTGCAGGAAGCTAATGTGAACTGAGCATTTGTGGTGTGCCAGAAACCAGCCCGGTTTTAGGTATTGCTTATTTACGCTTACGACATTCCCCTGGGGCAGGTTCTAGGACCTCCCTTCTTTGCTCAGAAAAGCAAGACACAGGCAAAGCAGTGTCAAGGTTACATTGGGAACAGTGCTGGTCAGGTAAGGGGCTCCAGAGTCCTTGCCTCTCGTTCTAAGTTATACTGCCCTTAATGTTTTCTTAGTCCAGACACATGAGAAAATTAAGACTTTCTCATGATGGTGAATTTGAAGGATCACCCTTTACTGTAAAATGGCCTTTTTTTTTTTTTTTTAAATTATGTTAGCATAGTCTCTCCCTATGAATTAATGGCAGCTGCTTTTCAAACTTTCTTATTTGGAAAAAGAAAGAACTGTTTATGATATGTTCCTCCATTTTTTATGATTCGCTGTGTTGATTTTGACCGACTGAACAATTAACTCTATGAACACTAGTTTGTTTGGGTTGTTTCAGTTTTTGCCTTAGAGTCAGCCAAATTCTGGTTATTATATTCCAGATACTGTTGTTACTTTTAATCGGTCAAACACAGTGTTAATTGAGTGTGTATTGCTTCAATTCCATCTATGGCACAGTGGGTCCCTGTAGGAAGATTAAATCATGCATTTCCTTTTAGTCTCAAGGAAAGATCTGGGATGTAGGTAACCTCTATAAGAGGGTTAAAGCGCCACAGCAGTGGACAAAAGTTTGTTTCTGTAAAAAGTTATAAGAGAACCAACTGAATAAGCCAGTCATTAATTTTTTTCTTTTGCTATATTTCATCAACAAATCTCTCTCCGTCAAGGTTGTTTGACAAGATGTAGTGTTCCCCCCCAGAATAAGAGAAAGTTGCAGGCTGATTATCGCCAGCCAGGATATGGAGATGTGTGCCTGAACACGACCAGGGCCCGCTGGCTAAAGGCCCAGGTCTCCAAGCCACAGAACAGCTCCATTAAAAGGGACACACGGTTTAGTCATTAGCAAGCTGTTCTGAAGTGAACAGAGTATTTATTAGCTCCCCTTGGAAAATGCTCACTGAGAACAGGTGCCGCAGCACAGAATTAGAACAGATAGCAAGCCTCGAGGAAAGTAAGGTCTTCTAGTGTTGTGAACCAAGAAAATGCTTGGAGTTTTTGATGGTATCTTAACAATTTTCTGACAAAAGAAAAATATGAGGAAAACAAACAAACAAAAAAAAAGCAAACAAAAAATAGGAAAAAAATTTCAAGGTTTACACTGTTTTTTTTTTGTTTGTTTTGTTTGTGTTTTTGTAGCACATATTTACATTCCAAGTCCATTATATGTTTGCCAGAGCCTTCCTTCTGGTAAGATTAATAGTTTTCCTGACTGACCAAGTAAGAACTAACTTTGGAAATGATCAAAATGTCATATTCTTTCTCAACACACAGAAGGGATGAAAGATTCTCCCTTCATTTTTAACCTCTAGATTCTTGTTGGAAAAAAAAATGGTGAAAAAGAATTTGACCATTTGAAAATCCAGATCATTTTAGAAAGATTCATAAAACGACTCAGTAAAAAATTGATTTCTACATCTGAACATGATGTTTCAAGCCTGTAATCTTGGCACTTTTGGGGGGGGGGGTTCAGGCAAGAAGTCTGAGTCCAATTTGGGCTACATAATAAAACTTTCCCTGTCTCAAAATAAACAAAAGGAGAGAGAGAGAGAGAGAGAGAGAGAGAGAGAGAGAGAGACTGAGAGATTATTTATAAACTGTGTTTAAGATACTGATTTAAAGAGCCTGAGTCACAACTCTTGTTTAGCATTTGTAAGCCCTGGTCTTTGAAATGACTGGCTTGTTATGACTTACCAGGAGGGTCAGAGTGTTGCTAATCACTTTTGAGGACCTCCCACACCACAGCTGGCTTCCCAAAGCTGCTTTCACCCTCCACTGTCTGCAGGGCTTCAACAGGTCCATTCTCAGATTAGGAAGACAGGGTGATTTCAGACAGCCAAGTTGATGCCTCCACATAGAAGGGGGAGGGTGTGTCTGGCAGCCAGTAGGAACCATAAATCACCAATGGTGGGAGTGTGATGATGGCAGAGCTGTTGACCCACAGGGGCAGTCAGGGAGGTGAAGGGGCAGATGGGACCTACACGTGTCCAATGGCAGACAACAGCAGAGGGAAACAGTTTCCATATTAGCACCTGTGCCAACTAATAAACAGGTCTGGCAGTGGCCAAATGCCCATTTTCTGTAGAACCAGAGTACGCCAGCTGTGCCAGGAATATACAAAACTACTCTGCCCAAACAAGGAGAGAGATGCCAAGCATTTTAATAGCTTAGGGGAAAAACCCAACATAAAATCAAGTTCTAAACAATGACAATTCTCAGGACTAGGTTCAATTCCTCAGACCTCATGATCAAATTATCGCTTTCTTAAGTGTTTCTCACCTAATGTTTTAAATAAACACACACACACACACACACACACACACACACACACACACACACACACACACACAAGAAAGAAAGGAAGAAAGAAAGAAAGCTATACACTTCAATGTTTGAAAGTAATTTGCCTATGAAAATGGTTGAGATAATGCCTATCTGGCTTACAACAGAGTTTGCCTGAATATACCTGTGCATTGAAAAGACAGGTCCCATAAACAATGAAATGCTCAAGCAAGTGGAAGGTGCTCAGTGACCTTCTGGAACAGGAATGTCTCCGGACTTGGAAACAAAAGACAGCTACCACTCTCCAATGAATATGAATGTAGCCAACTGTAGATGGCAGCCCTAAATCTCATTAGGCAAAGGGAGATTCAATAAAACATGGGAGCACTACAAGAGGCTGTAAGCAGCTTACACCAAGAGCACAGCAGGGCAAGGCGGGCACTGGGAATGTGTCTAATCTAAGAGTCAATCTCAAGACCTTGCTTGGCAAGCCCAGGCTCTAATTCACTCCCACATTGCATGTCCTTGGGAGATTTATGCTGATTCGCTCGGCATTAATGTTCTCACGTTGAAAAATAAATAACAGAAAGAATGTTCTGCATCTCCATGCTATGTAAGTGTGACTTATGTGACTTCCAGGACAAATGAGCTACTGGAAAGGCAAACACAAAGTAAGCTTAATCTGGAACCTGGCTCAGAGCAGATCATCCATCAGTCTGCATACTCTGACTACCAGAGGAAGCACTGCTCTTCACAGGGCCGAGGAGATCCAGGTGGCATGCAATCACTGGAGACTCTTTAAATGTTTCCAGAGTGCTTAGTAAAATGAATAAGGGAAGCACAGTGTGGGTGCTAATGAGTCATCCACTATGCCTACCTAAACTGAGTTTTGATGGGACCATACGTTTCTGATGATCAGAGGATATGTACTGATAAAAATCATGGGAGATGGGTTCTGTTTTCTTCTAGCCAAGCGTATGGCTGCTGCTGGAAAGAGAGAGTCCCACCCTTGAGGGCACCTGCACCTATGTTCGTACACACACAAACACACACACACACACACACACACACACACACACACACACACAAAGATAAATGTTTAAAGTGTAATAACCTGTCTTTCTCCTATCCATTTAAATGGATGCCAGCAAGACAACTTTAAGGAATTGATAGAAGTATGGGAATTTTGAGAAAATGACATCACAGAGGAAGTGAACAGTGTACAGCGTAAGTATCCAGGGACTGGAAGGATGGGACCAGAATGAATGGATGCAATGCTCAGAATTTCATGGGGACAGTCTATCAGTAAAAGCAACTCCAGTGGAGCAGAGGGGCAAAAGCAAGTTAGGAAGGGTGTTTCTGTGCTATAGATCACTGGTTAAAACAAGCTTTTTTTTTTTAATTTTACATACCAATTCCAGGATCCCCCTCCCTCCTCTTTTCCTGCCCCCACCCCATCCATTCCTCAGAGAGGGCAAGGTCTCCTCCCATGGGAGTCAACAAAGTCTGTCATATCACTTGAAGCAGGTAACCCTCCATAGGGAATGGGCTTCAAAAACCCAGTCCATGCACTAGGGATAAATCCTGGTCCCACTAACAGTGATCCCATAAACTGCCCAAGACACGTAACTGTCACCCACATGCAGAGGGCCTAGTTAGGTCCTACACAGGCTCTCCAGCTGTCAGTCTGGAGTCAGTGAGCTCTCACTAGCTCAGGTCATCTGTCTCTGTGGGTTTCCCTATCATGATCTTGACCCCTTTGCTTATATTATAGCTCCCTCATTTTTGACTGGTCTTTGGGAAGTTGAGCCACAACCCTTTGGTAAACTTCCTGCTTCAAGAATATTTATATTATGATTCACCACAGTAGCAAAGTTACAGTGATAAAGTTGCAACAAAAATAATTTTATGGTTGTGGTCATCACAACATGAGGAACAGTATTAATGGGTCGCAGTATTAGGAAGGTTGAGAACCACTGCACTTAATAATTCTTTAACTGGAGGTTTCATTCTGCATGTGGGAATACTGAGACTTCACACTCTCTCTGAAGCAATACATAAAAATTTTCTTTTTATTTAATTTGGAAAAGATAAGGGCTTTGTTGGTATTTCTACACATACATTGTAGTCACACATACATGTTTGTATGTCTAGGAACATATATGCATATGCATGTGTGTGTATTCAGGTGTTTGAGATAACACATTCTGTAGCCCAGGCTGGCCTCAGACTCTCACCCCCCCCCCCCCACTATACAGCCAAGGTTCACCTTACACTTGTAGTTTTCCTATACCCACCTTACAGATACGAAGTCCTGTAACGATGCAGGAACTCGTGCTAATCGAGAGCTCCTAGGACTCGGTGATGCCTTCAAGACTCTTCACCCACATGGTGAGGACCGTTAAGTCAAGCCCCATGTGACATCACAACTCTTACCTTCCTTTTGATATCAGTGAACTGGGAAACCATTAAAGACCAGTAAAATGACAGCTCCAGGATGTAGTAGTAGTGAAGGTCAGCAGTGAGCGGCTGAGGGGAGAAGAAGAAAAGGGGAATATGGACAGTTACTAGGAAACACACTTTGTATCCCTAATGCCACAAGCTCACCGCTGACTGGCAGCCCAGTCTCAGGCTGAACACATGCAATTCCCATCCTTTTCTTGGCAGACAATGGCACTCTCTTGGTTGCCCATAGAGCACAGCTTCATTGCCATTAATTTCAGTTCATCTCAAACCTAGGAAGCATTGGCCAGCATGACAGTTTGGGATCCTATTCATTATTGAGTGTAACAATAGCACCTATGGTCCTTTCACATTCAGCAGCTGCAAGATTCCTTAGGCAATGCAGCACATGTCCTAAAGCACACACACAGAGCTGTGAGCGTCCAAAGCACAGAGCAAGGAGTGCAGGTAGTAGGGGTGTGCTCCATAATGGTCAACGGAACATAGGCTCGAGGTCTGCACTAATCACAAAGTTATGTATTTCAGGAAATGGTCACTTTACTGCAATATTCAAAGCAAGTGATTCAAACATACTTAAATTATCAGAGGGACAAGAAGACTACAAAATATACATGACTAGGCAGACACTCAGCCAGGAAGTCTGAGACCTAGGTCCAGCTATATAACTTGGTAGTAAAATTACTTATAAAATGGTGGGGTTGGGGGCAGGGGATAATGCCTGTTCTGACTGCTTCAGAGAGATAGTAGGGCAGGCAAAGTGTATTTTACACACAACACACACACACTCCATAAAAATAAAAAGTTTTTTTTTCAACAACATGCTGATGAGCTAGCTATTTTTAGCTTTTGAATTTTTTTCTTTTTTATTGAGCTGTAATGAACTGTCTTGGTTTATTGGAAAGAAAAAAAAATAACCTCTGAAATTCTTCAAACATATTCACGCCAATGTTCAAAAGGCAATAACCTGTATTGCAAAGGAAATTAATGTTATATCTACCATATGCCAATCATGGCATAATGGATGGTTGTCACAAGATGGCCCTTATTCACTCAGTACAGGCATCAAGGAAAACTATGTCTCTCTCATATTTCTGATGAGGTACACTGTAAGATATTAGATCAGCAGTTCTGAACTCTTAAATAACAAAGAAAATCAGTATAGACTGAATGCTGGTGTCTCTACAATCCCACGTGTTGAAGCCTGATATTCAATGTAATGGAATTTGCAGGATGGACTGTTGGGCAGTACTTAGGTCGAGAGGGGAACTCTCATGAATGGAGCAGTTTCTCCTTGAGGGATGAAAGAAGCATCAGCGCTCAGGGGTACCTTGAAAGAAATCTATTGCCCACTGACATGCTTTTCAGATGCTGTCAGTAATGCAGTCTGGGAAAACAGGGCTCTGGCTGCAGCCTCTGGGTCAAGGTAAGATTCTGGTGTTGATGAGATTCCCTGCCTCCTGGCATCATTATCTGGAATAATACCTCAGAGGCATCACAGGACACGTTAGATCACATCTAGAAGTGCCAAGTCCACGTGAGAGCACCACAGTCATCGGCTCTCAGCAACCACTCTACAGCTGGTGAAACACACGCGTGACTCCCTCTGAGCATCCTGAAATCTATAAAATCACTCCTCTCATTCTGCATGCAGATTACAGAGCCAGCAGAAAACTGCTATCAATTAACTCAGAGGCCACATCCAGGTCTCATAGCCAGTGAGGCCCCTGACCTCTATACTGAGGCTTCTCCTGCCCAGTGTGTGCTCCTGGTAACGAGATGTACAAGGGCCAACTGCATATAAACCTCATCTTACGTTAAGCTTTAAAATACACACCCATATAAAAGTATTATATGTGTAGCAAATAAGCATGCTCATATAAAAGAGGAAATGTGTGTTCAAAATTGAAGCAGACTACTACCTTTCACCTAAAAATCTATTCAGCTACTTATGTAATATATGTGTTAAAGACATAATAAATAAATCATGAGCATGTTCAATCTTTTAAAGTGCACTAAAGACTTGAGATAGACTCTGAACTGTAATCTGCTATATATATTTATATACATATGACTGCGAAGCATTATACTTGCATACACACTATTTAATTTCCTATACCCCCTACACAAAGAAAGTCATTAATTTTATTAGCATAGGGCACTTGTCAAAGATAGCCATTGTTTCCATAAGAGATCATGAAAACATCTAAGATTTGGGGAGCACTCAGTATTAGCTTAACCAGTAGAAGACAACTCTTGACCCAAATCCTCACAGATGGGTTATCTTTCTTCTAATACTAATGATATTTTCTACTTTTAAATAGAACCTTCTCTCCTAGCCACTCAGCCTTTCATGCTAAATCTATGGTGCAGTCTGGGAGACAACCCACAGCTACAATCTGGGCCACAGTCCTACACATTCACCTCAAACCAAGCAATCTCAAAGCTACAGTTAGAATGTGAAAGTTATTTTGGGCTACATTAGTGAAAAACAAGGTTAAGTGTTACATTTTATATGACATTTGTCTCAATGCCTTTCATGTTGCAGAATTTACCTTTTAAGTGTAGGGCATTGTAGCAGCTGCCATGCCAACTCTCCAATTAAGATCTCCAGGAGCCTTTAATCCCAAGGATGTGTGTGGAGAGTAAAGTGCTGCTGGGTCTGAGACAACCATGCTAGGTAAAGGGACTCTTTCCCACCTTTGCCCAGTCTCTGTCAGTTATCTCAGGAACTCTAAGCTTTCTCTAACTACATCATGCTGCTTACATAAATTCTTTCCTAATCTAAATAAAGGAACTCAAATGCAAACTAGGATTCCATTTCAATGTGTCTTTAGCCTTGAAGGAGTGTGCAGTGTCAGCCTCTACCGGTGGTGGCTCTGTAGACAACACTGAGGAAGTGGACAGAGTTTCCCATTAACCCTATGCACACAGGAAGTCCTAGTCTCTAAAATGCAATCCCAAACTTAAAAACCAAAGGCGCTCATTACAGTTCCTAGTTCTAGTTGCTTCCCTTCTAGAACATACCTTGACAAAATAGAAAATTTCTAGTTCCATCTTTGATAGTTTTTATTTTTTATTTATTTTCCCTTTTTAATTTAAATTAGAAACAATCTTATTTCATGTATCAATCCCAGTTCCTTCTCCCTCTCCTTCTCCCATGCCCCTCACCTAACCCCTCTTCTGCTCCATAGAAAGGGTGAGGCCTTCCATGCAGGATCATCAAAGTTTGTCACGTCATTTGGAGCAGGGCCTAGGCCCTCCCCCATATGTCTAGGTTGAGAGAGTATCCCTCTATGTGGAATGGGCTCCCAATATTCATTTGTACACTAGGGATAAAAGCTGCTTCATTACCAGAGGCCCTGTAGACTGCCCACGCCTCCTAACTGACACCCACATGCAAGGGGCCTAGTAACATCCTATGCTGGTTTCCAAGTATGGGTCCATGAGCTCCCTCTTGTTCAGGTCAGCTGTTTCTGTGGGTTTCCCCAGCATGGTCTTGACCCCTTTGCTCATCACTCCTCCCTCTCTACAACTGGATGCCAAGAATTCGGCTCAGGGTCTCCTGAGCTGTGGGTCTCCAATTCTGCTTCCATCAGCTACTGGAAGGCTCTAGGATGGCATATAAGGTAGTCATCAATCTCATTATAAGGGAAAGACATTTAAGGTAATATCTCCACTATTGCTTAGATTGTCAGTTGGGGTTATCCTTGCCGATTTCTGGACCATTTCCCTAGTGCCAGATTTCTCTTTAAACCTATGCATGTTTTTGATTTAATCAAAATTAATTGATCTAGGGGTGAGAAGGGCTTGTGCTAATGTTACTGAATTCACGGGGAGATGCGAATGCACAGCAGTGGGCAGACATGGAAACACCCCCTTTCAGGGCTATGGTTTAATTTCAGTCGTCAAAGATGGTGTCTCGTTTTTAGTTACAGAAACAGTTCATCCAGGTGTAATGTCATTAGTGTGTTTTTCTGCATTTGGAGAAATGGTGCTTGGTTTGTGTATTTAGAGGCCATTTCTATCTAAGGTACAAAGTTCACAGAACTCGGCAGGCCTGCTCCAGTGCCACACTCAACCATTCATGTCTGCTGTGGAGGCAAGTCTGCACTGTCAGCAGGTCTCTAGACTTTCTTCTGTCCTGAGAAACAGGAACCCACCACCCACTGAAGAGACTACATCCCGTTCTCCAACAAAAGAGCCTGCCGTATTTACTCCACTTGCTAAAGCAAGCAGACTTGGATTCTGCACCTCATTGAGAACACACAAAGCCTTGTCTTTACTAGGCTGTGGCTGACATTAACGAGCAGGTGCAATTCGAAAGTGTGAGTAGCAACTCAACCTGTTGCAGCCTGCCTGATACCAGGAAGTTGACCTAAGTAAAATCCCTTACAGCTGTAAACTCCAGAAGTCAGATCTCCTTACCTGGTAGGGGTAGTTATACCAGCAGTGTCTTGTATTCCACAACCAAGGGGTCTGGAAAAAGAAAACCAAAGAAACACATTTGACATACTTTAGAATTGTTAAAACAATAGGCATCCCACTACACATGCTCTCTGGAAGGGAGCTCTCTTTTACACCCGGAGATTTATATATCCTGCTGGTCACTCGGCTATATCCTTGCAACCTCAACAGCTGTGCCTCCAGAGCCATATGCAAATTATCCATCCCACTTATGGAAAAACATTGCTAACAGCTCAACCTACTCTGGAATTCCTAGGCCTCAATATATACAAAGCCATTTTCCTTATTCCTTGACCATGGTTCACTGACACCCTTCACTTGAGCAGGATGGTTACCTTCTGCCTCCCAACTTGTTTAATTTCTAGGACAAATCATTCTTTTTTGATGGCAACTATTTGTCTTATAAAAACATATAATTTAAAAAATGAGTATACACACAAATCCCAAACCCACAGTAACCAATGATGGATTGATTTGAATAGAGACAGAGAGCTGAACCACCCAACAATATCAGAATCAATACCCTCACATTTTTCTATTGACTTTATCCCTGGTTTGCTGTCCTCTTCCATTGTCAGCCATCAATTCTGTAGAACACATCTCTATACCTTTGATACATCTGTACTGTTATTATTCATCTCCTTGATTGTCACTCCGGAGCCACAAGGATGAAAGTGGTTAGTTTCTGGCAGCTAATATTTATTAGGCCCATCTATATCTAACACTTTGTGGTGGTACTTATGCCTACTAACTCATTTAATCCTTAAAGCAGCTACTGCTATTTGTCCTTTTCTTTTCTTTTCTGTAGGTAAATGCAGGCCCCGAGTCAGGAAAAACTTCCTAGGTCATATAGCTCAGCAGTGCCTAAACTGCAATCAAATAGAGACTGCATGGTCCCCTGGGACACTATATCCCATCTGTGTCTGATAAAACTGAATGGAAGAAAAGGATCACCCCATGGAGTAAAATTTAAAAGTCTGGGAGTCTATGCACTTTCTCTTCATTTAAGCATTGTCCACCTTCTTTCTTTCTGTTTATTTATGTATTTATGTATTTATTTATTTATTTTCTTATTTTACATAGATCCCAGTTCCTTCTCCCTCCATCAGATTTTGTTGATCCCTCCTGGAAGGCATTACCACCTTCTTTCTTTTGAGACTTTTACTCTGTTTTGGGTTTTCATTTGTTATGGATCTAACACTATCCCTATTCTCCTTGATTTCTTGGGGGCTCTGAGCTGTCTCCATCTATTTCATTCATTTCTCTTATCAATACCATTGATGTTTACTATTATGGGGTGTGTGGTGCTTTGAATGAGAATGTCTTCTGTAAGCACACATATTTGAGTATTTGGTCCCTAGTTGGTGAAACTGTTTGGGAAAGGGTGAGGAGGTAGGTGTGGCTTGGTTGGAGAAGGTATGTCACTGGATATTTGAGGTTTCAGAAGCTCACACAGTACTTTTTCTAGACCTCACATTATGTCCCCAAACACTGTGTGACAGATAGATCAAATGTCTTTCCCTATGTATAGATAAAAGACAAAACAGAAATCCACAGCAAAAGGTGATTCTCTTGTGTTCAGAATTGGTTATAAAATTTAAATAAGAAATGCTCCAAAATCCAAAACCTTAAAAATTTAACAACTATGCAAACATTACAAAATTTAAAACAAAACAAAACAAAAACAAAAAAAAAAACAACTAAAATCTGAGTAATTCTGGATTCCATGTTTTGAGAATGAATATTCAGCCTATGGATACATACTGGCATATGAATCTACAATTTGTAATAAGATTACTTTACACATAACTTTTAAAAATGTTTTATTTTTATTTTAGGGTATATGTGCACCACATACATACAGTGCTCTTACAGACCAGAAAAAAGGGTGTTGGATCCTCTGAACTGTAGTCACAGACCACTGTTTGCTGCCAAATGGGTGGTATGGGACTTGATGGGGTCCTCTGCAAGAGCAGCAAGTGGTCTTAACCATTGAGCCACCTCTCCAACCCCACATATAAACTGTTTTTGTTAAATTTATCTTATGAAACTTTTAAAAATCTATTTCTGTAATCAATTTCTCCATTGATCAAAGTTTAATGCCACTCCCAGGAGCCACAAAAATCTGGACCCAGGCTTGTGGTATGTCCTTAATGAATTGTTAGAGTCTTCTGAAGCCCACAGAACAGTCCAGTGTCTGACCATCTATTGCTCTTGGTTGCCCACCAGAATTTGATGGTAAGATCCTGTAGCTGAAGATACCACTCATCTTGGTTACAAGGTAGAGAGAAACCAAGATGAAAGCTTTCTCTCTACAGGGGCCTTCTTCACCTTCAAAGGTGCTTTGCAGGCTTCTTGGAAGAAAGGGCATCAGTATTTTCACCCATCTATGCGCCTTATGAGCTACAAAAACCACCTATCAGACAAGATACGCCCACTGCTGCAATTTGGTTCAACTGTTGTGGTGACAACTCACAGCTCTCTGATTGGATCTGAAGCCTGTTCCATAGGAAGGAATTAATTTCAGGTTCTGTAAACCTCATCAAAAACTCCAAACCACAACATCACTAGAACAGCAATATATCCTGAAACATGTAACTGTGGTACTTAAATCCAGGGGGTAGCCAACAGCCATCATATTTGATGTTAAGGCCTACTCAGTAGGAGAGAACTCATGCCTAGTATTACAAACCTGGCTTACTACCCATGACTGATGAGGCCATGGACCCTAGAAAACCAATTAATGTGTATAATTTCTAAATGCACTATTATAGCCACAGATAAGTATGGCTCTTATCCCTCATCAAAAAAGCTTTATTTTGCATCAGATAGAGCATTACAGAAATCCACAACTGGTCAAATGCAAAGATCAATTAATCATGGGGTGCTCAGCCCCAAATGATACATCTACAACACAATCTCTACACCTAAGTTCAGGGAACGTCACAGAAGAAGGCCTAGAAAGGCTGTATGAGGTAAGGGGCCAGGACATCTCCTGAGAGTGTCTTTATATATGACAAGGAGGCTGCATCCTTGAAATCTCAACAATATGCTTGCCTAGACAAGACTTGTACAATGAGAATACCAGTCAACATCCCAGCATGGATGGGGAAAATTGCAAAAGACCCCCACACCTAGATAGAGAGCTACAAGCAATCAATGGCTGAAGAGAGAGGGAGAAATCTACCTTCTCCAGGGACAAGTGCCAACTGATCAGCTCTAAACACACATATATGGGAACCACATTAAGAGGACTCATCAGCTGTGTTTATAAACAAACAAACAGGTATATGTGTATAACAAGAATAAGGAGCAATGAGAATGGGGGGCACGGGATGAGTTAGATGAAGGGCAAGGAGGGAAAATGAATGAAGTACAATACTCATATAAGAAATTATCAATAAACACATTTTTAAAAAGACATGAAGTTAGAAGACTGGGTGGGAGAAAAGGGGACATTTGGGGGAGGTGATGATGAAAGGATATGATCAAAATAGACTATATTAATGTATGAAGTTTTAAAAGATTAAGAAATTTGAGAACTCTAATAATTCTCAATTTTTATTGTTTTCGTAGGTCAGAAGCAGCCTCTTCCTGCTTCTCACCTGTACATGTAAATAACATCATGAAGCACTGTACAGACTTAGGGTAACTTATACATATTATCTCACTTAATCCACATACAACCTGTCAGGTATCAAAGTAATACAGTCAGCAGGTGTCTGCCTTAAAAGATTTACAAAGAACATGGCAGCTCAGCGCTCAACACATTGCTAAAATAGTACAACAAAGCAAATTCAGTACATCTGGCTGAGGGCGTGAGATTCCACACTTCTGAGGCTCCCAAGTGATGCTGGAATTGTTAGATCACCGACCAGGCTTAGTAGTACAGGATGTTAAAAGGGCTGATTCTAAACAACTCATTGTTATTCTACAATTCAGGGCAGATGAACTGAATTAGTTCTAACAACTATTTGCACTAGGGAATCTCTGTTAGTAAATGATAGCTAGAGGAAGCAATTTTCACCCAACCTCCCTTACAATAGCCATGTATCTAACGTCCAGCAGAAGGGCTGTGAGCAGAACTTCTGAGATACTTCCTGGTGCTGCTCCTTACTGGGAATAAGTTTGTCACACTCCTTCATGGCCACTGGAGGGAGATAATGAAAACTGGGTTCTGAGATGGATGCTCTACTGAGATTGGTGTCAGGGACTCTCCACCAGTCATTGTTTTTTTTTTTTTTTTTTTTTTTTTTTTTAACTTTTGTACTATCTGTGTAAGATGCCTAGGCTTGCTATCTCCATATTTGCTTGCTATCTCCATATTTGAATTGGTCAACGGATATTGAATTAACTATTTTTATTTATTTATTTAAAATCTACCACAGACTGATTTGTGCTTTTACCCTGAATTGATGTGGGGACTTTTTTTTTTTTTAATGTCCTCCATATTTGAGGCATCTCCTTTACATATTTTTCTTTCTCTTCTCACACATGCTCGGAAGAGAGCATACAGCCAAAGGTGGCCATCTGCACACCGGGCAGTAGGCCCTAACCAGACAGAAGTGCCTGCCAGACATTCATTTGGAGTTTCCTGCTTCTGGAACTGTGAGGAATACATTTCAGCCAGCCAGTGTATTTTGTTACATCAGTCTAAGCTAACACAGCATTGTAAGACCATGCCTCCCAAATGATTCTCACCAGCTACTGAATTACAAACCAACTGATTTCATTTTAAGCTAATTTACAAAGTATCTTATTAAGACTAAGGTCACATTATAGTGTGTGAAAAATTACCTTTAACACCCTCAGTATAAACCACAATGTACGAAGGGATTTTTCATTATATTATGCACATCTGCTCACAGACACCAACTCAAAAGCATGCACACTCATCAATAATACAGAGCCCCAGGGGACACATATGTGGCTCCTTTTCACCCCTAACAAACCAAATCCCAGCAGCAGGAGGGAGGCCTAGTACTGCTGGGGCTAACCTTGGAGTCTTTATT